TCATTATTGGACAAACTGATCAATAATCAGGCACACCTGGATTAATCAGTTTGTCCAATAATGACAGACAGGAAACAAAGGGCTGGCTGAAGTTCAGGAAGTAGTGAAGCTGTGCATAAAGCCTATTGCGTCATATTCTGACTGCTCTGTATGCGTAACTGAGAACGCGTCACTTACGCCAAAACAGCATCCAATTAAATTGCGCACTACGTACTTTCCACATGTATTAAGTATTCTACATAATACTCCCTTCCAGGATTCAAGGATATAGAATACAGCAGTAGATAATACATAAAGACATAAAGTGCAAATAATTCACAACAGTTACGTTCCACCCAGTCTAGTATAGGGGAAGCAACATAAAAGTTAACCATAACTAAAGTATTAACAAAAACAAAAGTTTGGCTCCAAAAGTTACATACCAAAAACAAAAGAAATATGGTACAACAAGGTTTGAAGTAACACAAGTGTAGGAAGGGAAAAGAAAAAAAAAAGAGAAAAATATCTCTAACTATAGGGACCCAATCACTACACTTACCTTAAGGAAAGAAAAGAAAATAAACAACAAAATACTTCCCTGACTCCCTCTCTACTTTAAACTGGAGAAAACCATAGTATTAAAAAAAATCTAAATGGCACCCACTCCCTAGAACTTCCAAGTTTGGTCTATATACAATATTTACAGGAGAAACATCAGATCAACAGTTTAACAACAACTGGGTTCAGCCAATAAAGGGTGTCTAAATCAACATAACACTGTTTATACAAGCTTTTAACAAACAAAAGAAAAGAAAATGGGAAAGTTTTGTAATAAATCACGATAGGTTAGCAACTGACAAGATAAATAAAATAAGCTTTGTAATAATTCACAACAGAACAGCGGTAGTAATGTACATCAACAAGAAGGATGGCAGACCACTTACACACATGATGTTCAAAAATATAAAATAAATCAAATTACACCATAGGACGTAACAATATTGCAAATCTCAGCATGGTTGTTTTATATTGTCACAAAAATATATTATTTCACAGCTCTATATATAAAGTTGCTTATATATTTTTCTTCATACAGTATACTCACGTAAAGTGATATAGTGACTATAATATATAGCAAATCTCAACTGCTTGTTTCCTTGTCATTGCAAAATGTGATTTTTATTACTACCCAGCCAGCTCTTATATAAAGTTGAATATACAAGTATGTTCAGCTTTATCCGCTAAATGGCAAAATCTAATTTTCGTCGCATAATGTAAACTTTACCACGATACCCAGCTCTAATCTGCTAAATGCGACTATAATGAATGAAGATATTAAGATACTATAAACATTAAAAATTTATTTTTGGTAATTTTCTGCTTTGAAACAATATACAATGGCCCTCATTTATCAAAAGTGCGTACACCAAATTTCCAGCGTACACCTGGCGTACACTCAAAACCACGGTGACTTTGAGATTTATCAATATGGACGTTCCTAATATGGATGGCACGCTCAAATCCTACGCCAGCTCAGGAGGTGGTGTACGCACGTTTTGAGTTAGTGCGGAAATGCGCAGAAAAACAATCCCTAACACCACAAAACGCACTGACAAACTAAAAGATATGATATATAATGACCCACAGTAAAAAACAACAACAACATAGTAATTATAAACTTCAGTGTTTATTTTTGTGCAACATGGACTTAAATTTTTAATTTGTGTGACTTTACCAAAGCATTTGATTTGTAAGCATATGTATTCCTTCAGTTGCGAGCCTGTGCGCTTTACCCTGACGTTTCAGGGTTATCCCCGGCAGGTGCGCACGGACTGGGTTCGGTGATGAAAGGCTTTCAATGACCAAAAAATAATTCAGACTGACAAAATAATAAAAATTACATTCTTCTTCTTTTAAATAATAATAACGACATTCTTCTTCTAAATAACAATAAGCGTCATTAATAATAAAAATCATAAATGGTAATGGTAAATAGTAATAATAAGAACAATATTACAAATTGTCATGCAATTATTAATGTGAATGAATGGTACTCCACATCACATCATCATCATCACTATTGTACACCTACATGTGACGTGATTCGAAATTGAATGCTAATTCTAAAGACGTGCTGTAAAACAATGCATTGTGATAGGTCATTGCGGCTCCACGTCAGAGAAGTTTCTCTTCTTTGCCGTCTTTCATTTTCATTTCATTCATTTCATTTATTTATTTATAAAGCACAATTAAAACAACATGGTGTTGACCAATGTGCTGTACAAAACACACAATAAAATTACATAATAAAATGTGTTTTCAGACAATACAACAACTAACAAATATCTGTAAAGAGCCTCCAAATAACCTACCAAGTTAACCTACTGATCCAAACGCTAATTCTAGTAAATGCCATTTTAAATTTCGTTTAAAATAACTTAGAGAGGGAGCAAGTCTAAGGTGTAAAGGTAAATTATTCCAGCGCCTTGGAGCTGCCACTGCGAAAGCCAGATCACTACTCAATTTTAATCTAGTCCTTGGAATGTCTAGGATCATCTGATTTGCTGATCTGAGAGACCTAGAAGGTTTATGCATATGAAGGAGATGCTCAAGATATGGTGGGGCTAAATTATGTAATGCTTTATATACAAATATCAATAATTTAAAATCAATTCTGAACTGCACTGGCAACCAATTAAGTGAGGCTAAAATCGGAGTCACATGCTGCTTTTTACGAGTCCCTGTTAAAAGTCTAGCAGACGCATTCATGACCAATTGAAGGCGATTCAACAGTACTTGGCTGACACCTACATACAACGAGTTACAGTAATCCAGTCGTACAGAGATAAAAGCATGAATAATCTACTCAAAATCACTTGTGGACAAAAACGGTTTCACCTTTGCTATTGATCTTAAATGAAAAAAGCAAGATTTTACTACAGAATTAAGCTGTTTGTCAAATTTCAAAGAACTGTCAAATTGGACACCAAGGTTTTTCACTGTATATTTACAAAAAGGGGTTAGCTCGCCCAGGTCAAAATAATTTTTTGTGTCAGGAGTCCCGAACCAAATTACTTCTGTTTTACTTTCATTCAGATGCAGAAAATTATCTGACATCCAAGATTTAACTTCTTGTAAACATCTAATTAGTGACTCGAAATATTTTTTGTCCTGTTTCCGCAATGGTAAATACACCTGAGTATCATCCGCGTAACAATGAAAGGATACTCCATGCTTAAGAAAAATAGAACCTAAGGGTAGCATATATAACGAAAACAAAATTGGGCCCAGAATAGATCCTTGGGGAACCCCACTAGACAGTGGGGCCACTTTTGATTGATGTTGACCAAAATTAACAGAAAACGTCCTATTAGACAAATACGATCTGAACCAATCTAGTGCCATGCCCTTAATTCCCATGTTTTGTTCCAGGCGGGAGACTAGGATATTATGATCAATAGTATCAAACGCTGAACTAATATCCAGCAAGACTAAAACTACAGAGCTACCAGAATCAATTGCAATGAAAATATCATTTAGAACTTTCAACAAAGCCGTCTCTGTACTATGGTTCGATCTAAATCCCGACTGAAATTTTTCAAAAGTCTCATTTTGATCTAGAAAAGTCTGCAGTTGGTTTAATGCGACTTTTTCAAGAAGTTTGGATAAAAATGGTAGTTTCGAAATAGGCCTATAATTAGATAAGACAATTGGGTCCAAATTCATTTTTTTCAAAAGAGGCTGTACAACAGCATGCTTAAAGTCCATTGGGACTACTGCAGTTTGGAAACTTCTATTGATTATAGTCAAAATACTGGGTCCAATAATATCAAAAGCATGCTTAACTAATCTAGATGGAATAACATCACTGCCACAATTAGTAGGTTTCAACTGCCCGACTAGCTCAGTCAGAGAAACAAAAGAAATAGGTAAAAATCGATCAAACACAGCAGAGGAGAAACAAGAAGGAACTGTGAAATCATATGAACAAGATACAACTTGTGTTCTAATGTCATTAGTTTTCTGTACAAAGAATCTGAGCAGATCTTCACATGTAATGGTGGACATAGTAGGACTTGTAGTAGTAGGATTTAGCACTGAATTGATAGTATTGAATAAAATATTAGGAGTGTTGTGATACCTTAAGATTAAATCAGCAAAATATTTTCTCTTAGATGACTTAACTGCATCCTGATAGGCAGTTAAAGACTCACGCAGTATATCATATGATACCTGTAACTTGTCCCTCTTCCACCTACGCTCAGCTTTTCTACAAGCGCGCCTTAGGCCCCGAGTACCCTCGTTCAGCCAAGGTTCTGGTTTGGTCTTAACGCTCTTAACCCTCAGAGGAGCAATTGAATTTAGGATAGAAGAACATACAGAATTAAAATTATCAAGTGACACATTCACATCTATGTCACATCACATCATTTCGTCTTCCGTGTGTCCATGGCGTAAAATGAGGGCGTGGGGGAAGCGGAGACTTGAATATATAAGGTACGCACAGCTTCATAAATCAGGCGGTGAGAGGAGTGTAAGCATAATCTAACGCCAACATATACGCCCGTTTCTACGCAAGAATGATAAATGAGGGCCATTGTGAAAAGCACTATACAAATAAATTTGACTTAATAGCTATCTAAATTTGGTTGCTTGTCATGTCAACCTTTAACAAAACTATGCGAGTTAAAAAAAACCTGACCCAGACTACATTAGATTATATGCTACCAGGATAGACATTTTTTTTGTTCTGATTACAATGTCTTTTGTGTGGTAATTTATTGGTTGCCAAAAATCTTGAAACCATTGAAATTCAAGAGACATTTAGAAACCAAACACTCCAACTAATAAAAAAGACGACACTTTGGACATATGACTGGTTGGATATAAAATGTAGCATCTTATTGGCTAAAGGAGGATGTAAAAAACATTTATGTTAACTAATAAAATCAATTTCTTTACCTTTTATATCTACATGTTGGCTAATGGCGTTCTATATCAGCATTGTGTATTTCTTTCAGGATTGCACTATCTGTATGGAGACTCTGTTGGGACCCTCTGGGTATAAAGGTCCAGGTGTAGCGAGTGTTTCACGTGCTGAGTCCATCGGACGACTGGCGCAATGTGGGCATCTTTATCACCTACAGTGCCTAGTGGCCATGTACAACAATGGCAACAAAGATGGCAGCCTGCAGTGTCCCACATGCAAGACAATATATGGAGTTAAGACAGGAAACCAGCCACCCGGTAAGATGGAGTACCATGTCATCCCGCACTCACTTCCAGGATACCCAGACTGCAAAACCATTCGCATCATCTACAACATACCTCCCGGGATACAGGTATAACTACATCATATATATATATATATATATATATATATATATATATATATATATATATATATATATATACACTCACCTAAAGGATTATTAGGAACTATACTAATACTGTGTTTGACCCCCTTTGGCATTGATTCAACAAGGTGCTGAAAGCATTCTTTAGAAATGTTGGCCCATATTGATAGGATAGCATCTTGCAGTTGATGGAGATTTGTGGGATGCACATCCAGGGCACGAAGCTCCCGTTCCACCACATCCCAAAGATGCTCTATTGGGTTGAGATCTGGTGACTGTGGGCCATTTTAGTACAGTGAACTCATTGTCATGTTCAAGAAACCAATTTGAAATGATTCGAGCTTTGTGACATGGTGCATTATCCTGCTGGAAGTAGCCATCAGAGGATGGGTACATGGTGGCCATAAAGGGATGGACATGGTCAGAAACAATGCTCAGGTAGGCCGTGGCATTTAAACGATGCCCAATTGGCACTAAGGGGCTAGGGGTGGGAATCTCTAGGCACCTCACGATGCGATTCGATTACGATTCAGAGGGCTGCGATTCGATGCTAAAGCGATTATCGATTATCTGAATCTTTTTTTTTGTGTGTGTGTCTATAAATACTTGGCTTTAAAAGTACCAAGTAATGACCCATAAAGAATTAACGTGCAATATATTTTATTAACATTGCAAAGAACCAACAGGAAAATAAATGTGTGCCTGAACTAGCAGCATACTTGTAGTAAATTAATAATATAACAACGACCGCTACAGCCGAGTGTTTTTCCTCCTCTGGGTGGAAACGTGTCATATGGCTTCTCATATTTGTCGTGTTTCCGAAATATTTTAGTTTTATTCTATAAAGCTTACAAATAGTGTGGCTCTTGTCCAGCTCCTTTCCCCTTCAACTTCATAGAAGCCAAAATATTTCCACACGTCAGCTTCTAACGAGGAGGGTGTGTGGATTTCGCGCTCAGCCATCGCGTCTCTGTTATGTGCACGCCACAGACGGTCCGGGCACTGCACTTCCGCGCTTCAGAGTTCCGTCTTTTGCGTTCCGTCAATATTACGTTATTATCATAGACGGTAAAAAATAGGTTATTATAAATATATATATATTAAAAAAATGTTTTTTTTTAAATCGATTTTTGATATTTGTGAATCGATTCAGAATCGTCCACGTCCGCATCGCGATGCATCTAATAATCGATTTTTTCCCCCACCCCTATAAGGGGCCTAAAGTGTGCCAAGAAAACATCCCCCACACCATTACACCACCACCAGCCTGCACAGTGGTAACAAGGCATGATGGATCCATGTTCTCATTCTGTTTACGCCTAATTCTGACTCTACCATCTGAATGTCTCAACAGAAATCGAGACTCATCAGACCAGGCAACATTTTTCCAGTCTTCAACTGTCCAATTTTGGTGAACGCTTGCAAATTGTAGCCTCTTTTTCCTATTTGTAGTGGAGATGAGTGGTACCCGGTGGGGTCTTTTGCTGTTGTAGCCCATCCGCCTCAAGGTTGTGCGTGTTGTGGCTTCACAAATGCTTTGCTGCATACCTCGGTTGTAACGAGTGGTTATTTCAGTCAAAGTTGCTCTTCTATCAGCTTGAATCAGTCGGCCCATTCTCCTCTGACCTCTAGCATCAACAAGGCATTTTCGCCCACAGGACTGCCGCATACTGGATGTTTTTCCCTTTTCACACCATTCTTTGTAAACCCTAGAAATGATTGTGCGTGAAAATCCCAGTAACTGAGCAGATTGTGAAATACTCAGACTGGCCCGTCTGCCACCAACAACCATGCCACGCTCAAAATTGCTTAAATCACCTTTCTTTCCCATTCTGACATTCGAGTTCAGGAGTTCAGGAGATTGTCTTGACCAGGACCACACCACTAAATGCATTGAAGCAACTGCCATGTGATTGGTTGATTAGATAATTGCATTAATGAGAAATTGAACAGGTGTTTTTAATAATCCTTTAGGTGAGTATATATATATATATATATATATAATGCATTTACACTTGGCCATCATTATCATATTTGATCAAATATCTTCTCTCTTGTCTCTCTCTAGGGTCCTGAGCATCCAAATCCAGGGAAGCCTTTCACTGCGAGAGGATTTCCCCGTCATTGTTATCTCCCAGACAATGAAAAAGGACGCAAGGTCAGTCCTCCTACCATACAGAGCATAAAAAAAAAAAACTTCACCTTCTACACAACCATTCAAAAGTTTGGGGTTGGTACAATTTCTTTACGTATTTTATTTTCTATTTGTTCAAAGCACATTAAAAACAGTAATATTGTGACACATTATTACATTTTCAAATGACTGTTTTCTATTTTGATATATTTTAAAATGTATTTTATTCCTGTGATGGCAAAGCTGAATTTTCAGCGTATCATCAACGTTGAAAACAGTTGTGCTGCTTAATATTTTTGTGGAAATCATGATACATTTTTTTAGGATTCTTTGATCAATAGGAAGTTCAAAAGAACAGCATTCATTTGAAATATTTTATAACAATGAATAATGTCTTTACCCTCACATTTGATCAATTTAATGCATTCTTGCTAAATAAAATAATTAATTTAAAAGTAGTCTTACTGACCCCAAAATTTTAATGTTTGTGTAGTTTTTTTGTTTTGTTTACATCACTTCACCATATAAAATTGTTTTTCAGTGACTGATCAACAGAAAAAGTAACTAGAAACATATCTCTATATAAACATATTGTGAAAAATATTGTGTGGATGTGAAATGTATTATTATTACAATTTAGTTTTTTAAATTAATATTCAACCCTTTAATATGACAACTTTATCATTATTTGGTGCAGCCAGATTTTTAGAAGTCACAGAAATAGTTAAATGGACCTCAACTCTGTGTTGTCAAGAAGTTTTAGTTGATAATAGTAGTAATACACCTATATCTCTAAGGTTAAAGGAACACGCTGACTTTTTGGGACTTTAGCTTATTCACCGTATCCCCCAGAGTTAGATAAGTCTATACATACCTTTTTCATCTCCGTGCGTGCTGTAACTCTGTCTGACATACCCACCGCTAGCCTAGCTTAGCACAAAGACTGGAAGTAAATGGCTCCAGCTAGCATACTGCTCTCAATAAGTGACAAAATGTATATGTTGTGATTTGTATAGTCACAGTGTGTACAAATAACAAGGTCATATGAGACAGCCATCTTTTAACCGTATACATACTGGGAACTATTTTCTCAGAAGGCGAAGTACTGCTACTTGGGCGGAGTGATTAGCGCAACAATTGAAAAGCACCGCTGTTACTCACAGAACCTGAATAAAGGATTATTATTACAGTAATCAATATATTTGAAATGCTATTTATTACAGCTGAAACAAATGTATTCAACAGCATATAATACAGTAATGTTAGATAATTGCATTACAATAGGATAGAATAAGGGGAAAGTAATAGCACAAAGCAAATTGTTTTTGCACAATGAACCCACAGACAGTAGCCTACTATTTCACAAACAAGGTCACTGTTTCTCAAAAATGAAAACTGCCCCTCCCCCCTCCAATTCATTAGCAAGGTGAAGACTACAGTCCTGAGAGTTACCCAAGGGGTAGTTCTTGCGTAGCCAGACCTTCAGACTGACGGCTGAAGGTCTGGAATTCATAGCAGCTTTCTTTGGCCAAGGCCCGCCCATAAGGCCGTTTGACCGACATGTAAAACAACCAATTACAGATCGTTTCGTTCAGCGTCACGTTTCGGGGCGTGGAAATGTCCCCACAACAACAGACCTGCGTGCAACAAGTCAGTCAGCATAGAAAATCAAAGAAGAAGAAAACTTCAAGAGTATATGTCGTGAACCTCGCATACTTTTGAGAATCCTACGTTTAGCTGATCTTGATAAATGCTCATTGTCACTCATGTAAACACAACAGTTTTTCTTCCGCAATCACCATAGACAGTAAAAGAAATGGACACAGCGACCTCGTTGATTTCAACGGAGAGAGTTGAAGCCCAACATGGGCACTCACTTCCTGATAGCCAAGCGTTCTGCGCAGGCTCAAACTGAGCTTGACGACGTAGTTGTCACGTGAGCAACCGTTCTGACCTTCTAGTAGCTTTGCCGGGACAAATCTGAATTGAAATCTGAAACAAATCTGTTGTTGAAATATTTTGTCCCGTTGCTTTTATGAACTCTCTATCTATGGGCTTCTCCCTTGACTTTATGCCTCCATGTCCACCCGATTGCCTCATAGACAGTAAACGATTGCCTACGAGCTTCTACTTCTGTCTATACGGTAATTTCTCTACTGTGCGACAGAGCGTCCCGTGGTTATGACGCAATGAATCGTTAGCCTATTTTTACAAGAATGGCTTCTAGGGGGCCATAACGTAAGATACAAAGTAATGGAGCCTTTTATACATTGTCGTGTTTCTTTAGAAATAAATAATGGACAAATGGAGTCTTTGGACGCCTCAGATGTAAAGTTATTCGCTGTCAAAGTGACGCCAAAATGAATGGGAGTCAATGGGATGCTAACAGCAGGTGATAGCCAGCTACAATGGCGGCCCCCGGAGGCAGCCTTAACTTCCGACTGATGGATTACCCCCTTGGCAATCACACGTCTGCGCTTTGTTTCCCGGCGGGCCGAAAACAAACGCAACACTCGCGCCCCCCGGAAATCCGATAAAATTCAACCAATCAGATGACGACTTCGACATTCCTGAAGTGTTTCCAGTTAAGTGTACCATATGCATCAGACGTTTAGCCAAGGGGGTAATCCATCAGCCGGAAACTTAAGCTACCCTGGGGGCCGCCATTGGCTAGCAAGCCTTCACCTGCTGTTAGCATTCCACTGACTCCCATTCATTTTGGCATCACTTTGACAGCGAATAACTTTACTTCTGAGGCGTTTAAAGACTACATTTGTCCATTGTTTATTTCTAAAGAAACATGACAATGTATAAAAGGCTCCATTACCTTGTATCTTACATTATGGCTCCGTAGAAGCAGTTTTTGTAAAAATAGGCTAACGATTGCGTCATAACAAGCGACTCTCTGTCGCATAGTAGAGAAATTACCGTATAGACAGGAGGAGAAGCTCGCGGGCAATCGGTGGGACGTGGAGGCATAAAGTCAAGGTAGAAGCCCATAGAGAGTCATAAAGTTGATCCTGCTGCTGCTCATGGACAGCTCCTACTCACGCTCTTCGGCTCTGCAAGATTCGGAAGGGAATGATTCAGATTCCTCTTGGCACAGCTACTAGAAGACGTGCAACTGTCAGACAGGTTGCTCACGTCACATCTACGTCGTCAAGCTCAGTTTGAGCCTGCGCAGTGCGCTCGGCCATCAGGAAGTGAGTGCTTCGAATTGACTTCACTTTTCTCTGTTAAAGTCTATGGGGTCGCTGTGTCCATTTCTTTTACTGTCTGTGGAGTTACCTCTACCACCGTTTATTTGATACTGGGGCGATAGAGCGCGTTCGTGACAACACAATACTAACATTACAGGGGATACATGGAGCCCGGGAACAACTGCAATAGTAGTGAGTGACCACCCTATTCATGTAATAGTGTCACTAACTTTACATTAGATCTGGCTAATGGCATTGTTACAGTAGGCTAGTCATCTACAAACATAACGGAACACTTACCGCAGCCTCAAGTGATCAACTTTGTCCTGTCTGTACTATCGATGGTATGGCCGTATCCTTCAGCACACGTTTCATGTTCCGTGTGGCAAATTCCATTTGTTCAAAATTGTCCTTCTCAGTGAAATGTTCTGAGCAAACACGATGGTCCTTGATGATGGCTACAGGTGTGTTTGGATCTTGAGCAAGTAGCCATAGATTCATCAGGTCAGCGTTTTTGGTTGGAATTCTATGAAACATCATGGTATTATCTGGTCTCCCCTGTTTATTGTTGCAGCTCTTTACAATACAGCGAACACCCATGATCATAAACTATGCATTTACTATCTAGCAATTGCTGACTCTATTACTCCAACTCTGAGCGAACTCTCTGCTTCTCACCACGGGGCTTCTCAGGTGCTGCGAGCAAATCACTCCGCCCAAGTAGCAGTGCTTCGCCTTCTGAGAATATAGTTCCCAGTATGTATACGGTTAAAAGATGGCTGTGTCTCATATGACCTTGTTATTTGTAGGTGACTACCTGTGACTATACAAATAACAACACATAAATAGGAAAATGTTGGCGTTATTTTGTCACTTATTGGGAGCAGTATGCTAGCTGGAGCCATTTACTTCCAGTCTTTGTGCTAAGCAAGGCTAGCGTTCGGTGCGTCAGACACAGTTACAGCACGCACGGAGATGAAAAGGGTATGTATAGACTTATTTAACTCTGGGGGATACTGTGATTAAGCTAAAGTCCCAAAAAGTCGGCGTGTTCCTTTAAACTTAACCCTCCTAATGCACCCGGACACGATACATAAACATTTCTGTTTTTAGTACAAAAATGAAACTGGATATGCATTAAGACTTTCAAAATACACAAAATTTATTTATTTGTTTATTTATCTCATATTTGTATTATTATTATTTTTAATGTAAGATTTAACCATTTAAACTAAATTGTTACACCTTTTGCTGGTCCGTTTTGACCTGAAAGTGAACTGTGGCTTTACACAAGAAATTATGACAAATTAAATTAATGTCTGTTTGTAGATCAAAAGTTAATAGACCAAATGGTCTAAATTTGATAAAGGAAATAGGTTTGGAAAAAGGAGAGTTCCACATTTTACTCTGCTGCCACCTATTGATTAACCACTGCAGCATGATAAAGAGATTAAGACTGTTTTTTTCTTTATGCAAGTAATATGAATATATTTTGTTTGAAAACATTTCAGGGTAATATTGATGTTGTTTTGTTAGAAAAAGAATGAGTAGTTTTCATAAATTTAGACTGTTTTGAGCAGTCAAGAGTTGTAAGTTAAAAGGAATTTAATTAAAACCATTGAAGTCAATGGAGTTAATACTGGTAATTCTCACCTGTTGTTATACATTTCATATAACGATATACTCAAATAAAATTTCTCATAAATATTGATACAAATATATATTTTCTTGCATCACACTGGTTTTTGCTGTAGTTCTTGTAAAATGTTATAGTTACACTTTATTTCGATAGTCCACTTTAGACATTCTACTAACTATAAGTAACTTTGCAACTACATGTCAACTAACTCTCAATAGAGTATTAGTAGACTGTCAGTAGACTGTTAGTTTATGGTTAGGTGTTCGGGTTAGGAGAATAAGTTTACTTGTAGTTGCCAAGTTACTTTTAGACAGTAGAATATCTGTTGGGGGACCATCAAAATAAAGTGTTAGCAGATATCAAGCATGCAGTCGACTAATAATCGAATGAGAGTTAGTTGACATGTAGTTGCAAAGTTACTTATAGTTAGTGAATGTCTATAGAATGTCTAAAGTGGACTATAGAAATAAAGTGTTACCAATTTTATATTTCAAATTGTTTTTCTCATTTTTAATTAATAAAAAGGGGGTAAATGTAGTAATCGCATGATAACTTGGTAATATTCAAAACTTTGTTCACTTATTAATGAGAAATCAATGATCAGATACAATATGGTTTTAGTTGAAAAATATTAAGTTATGACTGTTTTATAGTCATACGTTCCAATGGGTCCAAATGGACCTGGGAATGCAAAGGTGTATACCGTTTTTTTAATGCATTACAAGGGTTAAGGTTACTTCTATTAGAGTGCAATATGCTATTAAAACAAATGCACCAAAAAGGGCCTTAGAACACATTAAGATTCAATGTTGGTCTAATTGTTATTTAAGGTTTCCAATGATATCAATATGTTGTCCGGTTCTTAGGTGTTAAGGCTTTTGTTGGTGGCCTGGGACCGACGGCTGATCTTCTCCGTGGGAACATCCAGCACCACTGGGGAATCAGACACTGTCATCTGGAATGAGGTCCATCACAAGACAGAATTTGGCTCCAATCTTACTGGACATGGCTTTCCAGATTCTGGCTATCTTGCCAATGTACTAGGGGAGCTTAAAGCCCAGGGCATCACTGAAGATGAGGAGCAGCAGCTGTGAGAGGATGTTTCCGTTGGTAGTGAAAGAAAAATGATGGTACTAGATGTGCATTTGAAATAGGGAGCACAGAAATATGTGATTTAATATGAAAATAACTAATGACCAATTGGTACAGATAACTGTGTGAATTAGCACAGAGGTACAAGTCGGTGTGTATTCTATAATCTCAATACGGAGTACTTTGACATGAAGTAACACAACTAAGATGATATTTGGTTAAAGGTGAAAGACAGGTTTGAAGGAAAAAGGAAAGAAAGGAAAGTGTGACAAGCAAAAATGGGAAGTGGAGGGGACTTGTGATGTAGAAAAATGAGGGAATAGAAAGACTAAGAAAATGCTGGTTAATGAAGCAACAGAGATGTTTTATTTGCTTAAGTTAGGTTGCAGTGTGAGTTTGTGTAAGTTGTGTAAAACAGTCAACTCTTGTACCTCCACTAACTGGAAACTGTTTACTACAACTGAGAAGTATAGTTTGCATATGAATGTTTGTATTATCATGCATCATTCCCTGTGTTCAAAATGTATTGAGAATTTATACTATTTTTGTAAAGATTATGGTGTGTGCATAAGTTTCAGAGTTTTGTTAAGTCAAAATAGAGCAGAAATTTTAATATCAAATTGATTTCAAAATGAGTTTAATGGAAACATTGAACTGATTTATGCTAGTTTAAATGAAGCATGAGAACCCTATCTAATTGTTGTTCTTCAGATAATGTAAAAGTACTTGATATGCTCATTAAGAAAAAAGATGTCTGCAATATGTTTCATATATATTATGAAATATTACCTTTTCACGGTACAGAGACCCAATTTGGGGGTTTAAGCTAAGAAGTGCTGCTTAACTACGAATACAATGAATAAATAAATATGTTCAGCTTTAATACTGAAGAATAATCAAATGAATAAAGATTGAGCTGGATACAGTGAAATGACAAGCACTTCATAGATACAATAGATGGATAAAGAGATCCCTAGGGGTCAGTTTAGTAATCGTTTGCCAAAATTAATTTTGCAAACTCAACATATTTTGAATAAAATATGATTTTTTACTGACATGTTCCCTGTTTTTAGGCCAGTCTATATGTTAGGTCAATTATTGACCTGTTTTATAATGATCCACTTCTAATGACCTAAAGAACATGCCATTGTTTGGCATGTGTGTATCTGTGTACGTGGATTCTTGCGTGTGTGAGCCCATGCAACATTTGTATGCCTGCATTTGTGCGTGATTAAACACAAGAGTATGCCATGCATCCACCACCCAGAGGTATGGTGTGTTGCTCATCTGTTTAATTTTCCTCATGTATTTCTCTTTTACATTGATGTTTTCTTCTATTTTCATAGTTTACAATATTTTAGGAAAGTTTCATATTGAGAATTTTTATACTTAAAGGTGAGCCTCAACTGTTTTTGGTTTCTTTTTTCCTTCCTACATAATAAATGCCATTTTTGATAATATGAATGGTAGAGATTTATCAAGTTGTGAAAAAAAATGTTGTGAAGTGTTGTTTTGTAATATGTTAAGACCCAGCAACCTCCCCCTTCATTAAGATAAGATTATCTAAAAAATATATATATGATGATTCTATGATATATATTTAAAAGAGATGAAGTTTTGACATGGAGAATCAAACATCAAAACACCTGCACATGAAAAATCATATACACTGCCTGGCCAAAACAAGTTGCTGTTTGGATTTAAATAGGCAAATTCTTAAGAGTCTAAGATCATTATTGCAGTGATTATTATGTTTCTATATTGTTATATGTTTGTCAACAGTTCTAATCGTAATTGATGGAGTGTGTAGCTTTTCATTTCTTAAACAACCATGTAGGAAAACGTCTCGGGTTACGACTGTAACCCTTGTTCCCTGAGAAGGGAACGAGACACTGCGTCGATACGACACTTTGGGGGGAACGCCCCTTAGCGTAACGCGTCTGAAGTATGAATGAAACTAATCCAATCCTATTGGCGTTGCGTGATGATGTAACGTGTGACGACATACGCGGAAGGTACAAAGGGATGCCGGCAGACAACAGCGTTAGCTTTGTGATGAAGCAAGTCGCTCCCAGCCAGGGGAAGGCGTGGCAGAGGGATGCAGATGCCTTCTCAGGGAACAAGTGTTACAGTCGTAACCCGAGTTCGAGGGAACTCGAACTGTGTCGATATGACACTTTGGGGAACGAGTACCCACTATGCCACAACGAGTCCTGCCTGTCCCAGTGTGAAGCTGTCTCAGGCACAACTAGGACGAGAGTACTCGTGCGCCGGGTGTAGAGAGGAGGTCCAGACTATAAAATCTCATGAATGTGTGCGGAGTGGCCCAGCCAGTCGCATCGCATATGTCATGAATAGGTGCCCCTGAAAGGAGGGCTCTAGAGGACGCCATTCCTCTGGTAGAGTGAGCCCTCACGGCCAAAGGTGAAGGGAAACTGTGCACCTGATAGGCCAGGGAAATAGCCTGAACAATCCAGTTGCTGATGGTCTGTTTAGAGGCGGGGAGCCCTTCTTGGGTGATCCGAAACACACCAGCAACTGGCCCACCTTCCTCCACTGAGAAGACATCTGAGCGTAGATATTAAGTGCTCTGACAGGGCAGAGCAAATTAAGTCTCCCATCTTCCGCCGTCACATGAGGTGGGGGATGAAATGCCTGCAGAACCGTCGACCTCGCCATATTAGACGGCACCTTAGGGACATAGGTGCTGCAAGATGTCTGGGGTGCAAGATGGCCTTAATTCTCCCAGGAGCAAACTCCAGGCACTGCGGAGATATAGAAAGCGCCTGGAGATCTCCTACCCTCTTAAGAGAGATAATGGCAAGGAGAAAGACCACCTTAAGTGACAGGTTCTTGGCCTCAGCCGACTCCAGAGGTTAGAAGGGGGCCTCAACCAGCCCTTCGAGAACCACTGCCAGGTCCCATGTGGGAACTCTGGTCCGAATCGCAGGTCTCATCCTCCAGGCCCCACGGAGGAAACGTACGACCAGCTGATGTCTTTCCAGAGGCCCATCACTCAAAGGAGTGTGGAAAGCCACAATGGCAGCCACGTACACCTTGAGTGTGGACGGGGTAAAACCAGCAGAGAACTCCAGCACTGAAGCCACCGGGCAGTTAACTGGGTCCATGCCGCGCTCTCTACACCAAGTGGTGAAAACATTCCACTTGAGGCCGTACAGTATCCTGGTGGATGGAACTCTGGAGCTGAGTATGGTCTCGACTACTCCTGCTGACAGGTCAGCCTCTAGGTACTGTGCCCCCTCAGGGGCCAGACCCATAGCTTCCACAGCTCTGGGCGAGGGTGAAATATCAAGCCCTCTGCCTGTGACAGCAGGTCCCTCCTGATGGGAATCTCCCATGGGGGGCCTGCCAGGAGTGAAATCATGTGGAGTCTCCATTCCCCTGGCCTCAGCACCTGCCTCGACAGGATGTCTGCTCCCCGATTCTGGTCCCCTGGGACATAAATTGCTCTGAGAGACAATTTGCCCCGGCGTGAAGGCTGTGAGCGGTGCTGCAGAAAGCACTCATCAAGTTTGCTTTTAACCTGCGCTTTCTGCCTTTCTTGTGGCCAACTGATGTTAAGTTTGGCCACTGCACGTAGGGCTGGGCGATATGGCCCAACAAATTTATCAAGATATTTATTTTTATATCAGTCGATATCGATAATTATCACGATAAATGTCAAATCTTTATTTCTTTCAAGTTTAAAGGCAGATTTTTGCTCCTAAGTGAAAGTTGTATAAACCAGAGTGTTGTGGTTTTAAAAATCTGAGGTAGAACATTCAAACATTTGTCATTTTTCCTTAACAAAATAAATATCTGAAAAGAAAAATATTTCTTCAGCACAGTTTCCAGTGCAGGCTGCAATATTCAAATTACATGTTTTGTCTCGAAATGCATATTTGACAGTGAGTTAACAGTAAATCTACATCCTAACTCAAGCTAATGCTGCTATGTTAAATTTATGTTCATTAACAAAAACAGTAACATCTGTTTTTTTTTTATTTAAGGACCACATTTTTATTTGGTAAAATGTAATATTCTGACTGTTTGAGTTTTATTAAAATTAACCATTGGTCATCCAGTATCATGCATTTAGATCATGATAACCACAGATAAAGCCAGGTACACCCTATAGCACCTCACTATCATGGCAAAATGTAACTTTATGGTTTCTATGGTATTTGTATGAAAAACAGTAGCCTAACAGTTAAATACATTATTAAATACTGTAATTATATTCCATTAGTCATTTAATACATTGTCTACATTAATAATATTATACAATTCAATATGTATATCCCACATTTCATGGTGCAGTTAATATTACTAGGCTAATGTTACAGTAAATCCATGGTAGGCTAAATGGATTCAGTATCAATTCAGATTCTGAATTCGCTGCGCAGTGTTTCTCCTGTTTGTCAGCGGTGTTTCATCTGCCTTTAAACTGATTTAAACTGGACATTTGTGTTCTTCGCTGAACTCAAGCGCTTCTCACTGGATCTCGTGAGCGAGACGATCAGAGTAAACGCGTTTGCTCTAGTGAGCTCGCGCTGCCGTTTGGAGTTTGAGCCGAGCGGATAAACAGTCCGTGTGGCGCGAGGTTCAAATGAGTTTCGTTCCGCTTTTGGCGCATACACATTATCGAACATTTATCGACCTCTTGATATCGTTTTATCGAGAAAAATTATATCGCGATAATTATCGTTATCGTTTTATCGCCCAGCCCTAACTGCACGCGTCACAACCTCCACAAGCTCCTCATAAACGGGTGCAGTCTGAAATGGCTGATGTGTTTCATCTAGATCCTCCGCCACGATGCTAAGCACGTCTACATCTGAATCAGACAGCTGCAGCACCGGGTCCTCAACCCGAGCGGAAGAAGCCACGGGGCGGGCTTCCGCACGGGGAGTGAAGGGATCTGAGCCATCAGATGAGGATCGAGAAAGTGCCGAAGCAGTCTCGATCCCCTCTCTCTCTGCGAGCCCCACGATCTGAGCCGCCGCGCTCCGCTGCCTCAGCAGACGCGAGACCCATCTCGTGTGTGTCCCCACCCGTGATAAAGCGAGGGCAGGGATGCACACACTTTTTGAATTGCTCGCTTGCCATTTCCATACTGATTATATATATATATATATATATATATATATATATATAAAACAGACAACACCAAATAGACAGTTCACACAACAGAGAGCGC